AAATTTTAAGATACTTGATAATGCTAATCTAAAAAATATTGATAACTTAAGCATCTGAGCAGTTAAAGCACTGAACACTGGTAGTTCAGTTTGAGTTTAGATGTGGGCAAAATATATGGTTATGAAGGAATTTTATGATTTTTTAATCTCTATGTGTAATGTCAAAACAGTAAGAAAGGTTACGCACAGTAGGTGTCACCTAGACGGTATAGTGGTTAGGGGAGCCTACTACAGTACCGTAGGTTCGAATCTTGGAGAAAACATGGATGTTTGTAAAAGTAAGTGTTGGTGCGGCATGGCAGCACTCTAAATATGTGGCAAGCTGAAAGTCCTCTCATGTAGATTGGTGGAAGGAGAGGGGTGGGAGACATGCAAATCCCTCCTCTCCTGGGGGGGGTCTCTTCCTTAAAATTGGGGTGGAAAATAGAAGTCCTACCTCTTTTTTTGGAGTAGGCTCTGGTAACCATTGTTCCTTGTGATATGGACAAGACAACATACAGTAGGTATGCATAGAAGGTTAATGCTGTTACCCCCCTTCCTGTACAAAGGATGTCAAAAAATTACACAAATAATTTTTAGTAGATTAAAATTAATTTTATTTTATAAACTCTGAATAAGTCCCCTTATTAGCTAAAGATTTGTAACAATGTTAACACAACAAAACTGTCATTGTTATAACTACTTTACTAATTCTGTTTTGTAGACTATGGTTGAATACTTTTCTGGTACTTATTATGATAATAATCAGCATGATATGAATTTCAATCTAGGGTTGAATTGTGAATTTTCAAATGCTTAAAGTTGAAGGTATTTTTTGTTAACTCACCAGATACTGTGATTTAAGTCTTTACTGTATTTTCCATATTCCTCACCAGAATGCAAATTAGGTTGTTTTGTGTGTTTAAGCTAAGGATTTTAAATGTTAGATTATATTTTCTTCTTCTGGCTTATTGCTATTAGTTATTCTTGCCAGCTCTGCTTGAAGTTTATTCAAGCTTTAGCATTTCATTAGCCGATGTTTTAAATTATATGCTGATAATATTAAGCCAACTTAATTTAAGTCTATTCTATGTGTAATCATAGACTACATTTCTCTGTTTGAACTTAACTTTTGTTATGCTAATTTAAATATCCACTAGAAATATTTTGTGTGTAGCTCAAGTTGTGCATTTTCTGTTCAGCTTTAGACCAAATAAAAAGGTTATTTTAACCTTGGTATTTTGTAGGTTGTTTAAGATGTAGTGATAACTTGCTGATCAGTCTTGTAGGCTCTGCAAATCTTAAGCATCCACTTGCAAGAGTACCTTACTAAGTTAAATATACAGCTTTAAGTACATCATGTTACATGATCTTAAAAAGCATGCTCTCTGAACATATTCCAAATTTTATCCTTCTTGTTAAAAAATGTAATGTGCATGAACAATAACAGATTAGGTAACAACAGGTTTATTTATATTTTTATCAATATCTGAAAAATGTCTTTGTAAACTCTGTTAAGTTTAATAAAGTAATAGTAAATAAATAAAAATAAAATAGCAAATATGTATTTTAAAATTTCCTTTTGTTTAAAGCAGAAATTTCTCATTTTCATGAAAAATATAGTGCATTAAATCAGGAAACAGTTTAATGAAGTATAGATATAAATTTTAATGAGGTATAATATAATAAATGTGTATTCTTGGGAGATAATTTCTTTATCTACCTAGAATATGTGTTTTAAAACAAATTAAGAAAATATGAATTGAATGTTCTTAAAAATTGCTTCAGAGTTGGAATGCTCTAGTTTATAGGTTGTATGTTCTTTTTTCTTGTGGCTTTAAATTTTAGATAAAACTTTGTTTTTCCCTGCATTTTTTATATATTAATATGCTTTTCTCAGTATATGTAAATAAACTTTTGTTATTGTCAAACTGTTGGTCTGAAAATGAGGCTAAAATGTCTTATATAGAAAGCTAAAAATGATTATATATTTTTTTAAACGCTTGCTTTTTCTTCCTAAAATATTTCATTTCATAACAAAGAATTTTCTCTGCTTCTGATTACTGTGCCACATGTGAAATTTAGAATTCTTGTTGAAGACAACAGCCCTTATTAAAATAGATTGAAAAAAGGTGTAGAGGAATATACTGGTTTGTTTTATTGTACCTTGTTGTACAGATGAATTTGCTTTTATATTGCTCACAGAAAGAGAAATTCGTAATAATGTTTTTATTAATTTTAAATATAGTATGCAGTCAATAAATATTACCTTATCATACCAAATAAATGTTACTCTTAATGTGTAAGTAAATTTTAGCTTGTTGTCATCATCCCTAAATCAAGTACATCTTAGGCTTTATTTGCATATTGTGCATAACTGTAGTCTTGTACTAACTTACAAATACATTCTATATATAATCATTTACCTCTATTGCCAAAATAAATTTATTAAAAAATAGAGTTTATATATAGAGTATATTTAAGAAAATAAAGAGATATCATAAATATTACCTTGCAGTATATTTAAAATATTTCATGATATTTAAAGTCTGAATTTTTAGGATAATTGTTTTATTTTTTAAAATTATCTTTGTGAATAATTAAGTTGGTTTTATAAAATATATGCTTAAAATCTCCAGAATTTTAATTTTCTAATATAGTACACTCCCGTTGCCAGAAAGGGTTGTTTTGTAAGTATAAGAAATTAAGAAAATATTAGATTTTGCTTTGGTTTATTTAATTATAGCAAAGCACATGAGGGCTATCTGTCTAAGGGAAGGGATGCCTTTGTCAAGGACTTTATAAAGGAAATTGGCTTGTTCACATGTCAATTGTAGACACATTACACGTAGGAAAAACTGTGAAAGCTCTTGCAGCCAGCCTGTTTGCTGGAATTTGCACCATTGAACAAACCTCTGGTGTTTAGAGACTTAACCGTTCAGCCGCTGGTGGGCCATCAGAATTTGGAAATAGGGAAATCCAAAGTTAGCTGTTTAACTATCTAGTATTTTTAAATTAATTTCAAAATAAATTCTCTAACTCGCAATCCCCGGTTTAGGAGACTGATGCCTTATCTATTAGGTCATAGCAGGTAAGTCAAAATGAATATAACGATTACAAATGGCTATAACTATTTATTGAAAATGAATTTATCTTTAAGATCAACACATAATGTAGAGAGAACTTCAAAATTTTGTATACATATGTCATAGATGTTCCATGTGACTTTCCTCGGTCACACGGACATCTAAGCGGTAGTCCATTTCACGCCATACATTCTGAAGCATTTGTTCAGCCACCGATGCAAACGCATGACAAATACGTACTTTGAGTTCTTCAATTGTTCTGGGCATGGGAGGCACAAACACACTGTCTTTCACATAACCCCATAGAAACAAATCACAGGGTATCAAGTCCGGAGATCTCGGTGGCCAAGAGTAGAAGACATCGTTGACAGTTCCACTTTGACTGATCCAACACTTTGGAAGATGTTGATTTTAAAATGTGCTAATTTCCGTCCTCCAGTGTGGGGGTGCTCCATCTTGCTGAAAATTGTAATCCATGGAATTCAGAATCTAGCTGTGGTATTAACTGTACCTCAAGTATGTCTAGGTAAACATTTGATGTCACACTTCGCTCACTGAAGAAAAAGGGCCGTTCAATTTATGTGATGAGATCACGCAGAACACATTAACTCTCGCTGAGTCATGTTCATGTTCAGTTACAGTGGAAGGCTTCTCTGTACCCCATATTCGACTGTTGTACTGGTTAACCTTCCCACTTATGTGGAAGGTTGATTCATCGCTAAAAATGAGATGATCAGCCCATTGTTTCATCCTCCATGCTTTCCAGCACACACGTAGCGTAATTCATACATTTGCCATAATCATCCTGTTTCAATTGCTGCACAAGTTGAATGATGTATGGTTTCATTTGAAGCCTCTTCCCGAAAACATGCCATACTGTTTTTTGTGGCATTTGTAACTCCCGACTGCCTATGTATGTCAATTTCCGTGGGCTTCGTTCATACGTGCGGCGAATTCTTTCTACGTTATCTGCTGAAACACGTGGCCTTCCGCTACTTTACCCTTTACACAGACTTCTTGTTTCTTTAAACATCCAATGCCATTTGCGTATGTTGTAATTTTAAATTAATTTTTGCCATTTTTACTAATGAGACGCCCACAATGAACAGGTTTCTTGTCGCTGTGAAGTTTCCTTCCTAAAATTCCATTCAACTCGCATGCGTAGGCTTTCCCTTCACTGCACCTGTGCCTTACCTAGAGAAATTTTGTATTTCCATCTACATTCTGTGTTACTCTTATTGATAAATTCTGTTCCATTAAATAGTTATAGCCATTTGTAACCACTATATTAATTTTGACTGACCCTTTATAATACTTTTATGGCATTTCAAAGTCTATTTAAAGCTGATAGTTTATTTATTTGTATTTATTCATTTTTTCTATATTGCTGAATTCCAAATTTTAAAGGACAAGAAGTCTCATCTTCTCCCATTTTTGCAATTAAAAAACAGAATTTTACAGTATTTGAGATCGTCTCTTGCAGAACAGATTATAAGGCTGCAGAATAGGTAGTTTAAATAATTTCAAGTATGTGTATTATTTTCATTCATTCCTAAACCAGTTTTGCCATTGCAAAGCTTATAGGTGATTATACATAGCTGATGTAAGTTGTTGTTTGGGGTGCTGATTTTTAAAAGACATAAGCTAAGTTGTCATGAAACAATAATATATTTAATTTATGTGGGGTGCCAGTTATACTGGTCACCTTAGGATGCTGAAAGTTAAAGCCAAAACTGGCTTTCTCTTATCAAAATATTGTTTCCTTAGTCCAGTTTTAATTATGAGAAATAAATTTAGTTTTTTTTTTTTTTTTTTTTTTTTTTTTTTTTTTTTTTTTTTTTTTAATTTTTAAGAATTGACTGTATTGTTAATTTGTGATTTTAAAATTATCTCATGCCATGTTTTTTCTATATTAATGCATTGCATATTTTGCAGGATTTGAATTTTTTAAACCATGTAGATAAAACAGCTTAATTTTACAAACTTATATTTCCAACTATGCAAACTAAGTGCTGATGTCCTACAATTCCACCATCTGCTGGTTATATCCATCATGAGCAAGGTGTCTACTGTGTTTTATACTGTAGAAGTGGGAGATACTAAATTTACCATCCTGAAGCGCTACCAGAATCTTAAGCCCATTGGTTCAGGCGCACAGGGCATTGTATGGTAAGTGTATGTTCCCCCTTTTTAATGTATGTATGTTTTCCCACCTTTTTTAATGTATGTATGTTTTGTGCATAAATTAAAGAATCAGTTCCCATCATTAGAATGAACAAAAATCTAATTTTTGTAAATTTTATAGGTTCTTCAATGTTGTTATACAGTAGATTGCTTTGGTTGATGAAATTTGTGCATTTCAGTCTTGGTGCAAAACAAAAATTAATGATATATTTCTTTAGTGAACATTTTCTTGTTTTTATTGTATGCTAAATATTTAATGTTTTAACTAATTTCAATTTTCCATCAATGGTGCTTGGTAATGGGTTTGATGCATTATTAGTAGCAGCTGCTCAATTGTGACTGCCAGAAAGTATTTGTTTGAAATGAATTTTTAATTTGTTCATGTATGTTGTTTATTTTAAATAAATTGCTAACAAAATTGCATTAAATAAAAAAAAGTATGAATAGTACTTTCTAATTGTCCACACTCCTACTGAAAAGTTAGAACTTATTGCAACTTTGGGAAGAAATGTTCGTTTAAGTATCTTTATATATATCTATTTCAGAAATGCACTTCAGTGACAGCATTTTTTTTTTTTGGTAGGCTGCAAACTAAACAAAATTTAATTGAATCTCTTCTTGTGTAAGTGTCAACTTCCCTAGAACCAATGAACAATAGACAGCTTTTCATTCCCTACCTGATATAGAAAGGGTGAGCTGAACGAAAGTAACCCACGAACTGCTTGACCTTTTTCCTCTCCCCTCTCTCTGAAATTCTGAATTTCCAAGAAGATGGGCACTACAAAAAGTCTTTTATCCTTATAAATTGTATATTTGAGACTACAAGCCTCTGTTTTATTTATCAGATATTGTATATCAGAGAATTGACGAAAGCTGTAATGGATTGGCAGTTGTCCTCTGCATTATAATCTGAAGAGACTTTACTGCCTAGTCAGAAAGCTTACACTGGAAGGAGAGACTTGTAGACAGACATTGCCAAATTAAATTTAATTCTTATTTGCTGGACAGGAACTAATTATCGAAAATATATTTTTCGTCACACATGATCATGAAAGCAATATGCATCTCGCAATTTTATACAGAGTATATCACATTTTATTTGATAAAAAGTGTGTGATACAGAAAAATAGAGAATGGCACAATACACATTCCACAATTTTATACAGTGTGTCACATTTTATTTCATAGATAGAGTGAGATATTGTAAAAATTATGCATACAGAACAAATTTTAAATTGAATTATGGTATTTGCTAAAGTGAAAATGAATTTCTTTTACGATCATAGTTTTATAATGCTTAAAAGAATGGTGAACCAGATATTGTTTATTCTTCACAGGAATTTAAAAATTTCCAATTGTAGGTTTTAGCTGCTAATATACATGCTTATATCATATATATATCAGTTCTGACATACATAAAACTGTTATATATATATTGGAGAGCCATTACATTATGACCGTGCTCTTTCTGTAACAATGGGCTCATCCAGGACCAAAACCACTGCTGGTGCGCGGCTAATGTTCGAGTATAGAAAGCGGCTATGCATTGTCTTTCCAAACAGCTCAATTAGCAACCGAAAAGCAGCTGATTTGTCAGACATTGATAAAAGTCAAATTGTTATGGCTCACCGGAATTTCAAAAGTATACATCCGTGTGTACTCAAAATGTATGTGTATTCCTGGGTTGCCATATACTTTTTTGTTGAAATGGTGCATTGTCTCATCACTATTTTTTCTTAAAACTGTGTATTGTAGACATTGTTTGCCTCCATTAACAGCTGAGTGATTAAGATCACTGAATACTGGTATTTCAACATGATTTAAGCTTAGGTCGCACTTAGAAGCAGTGTAACACCAGGGTGCCTGGGTCAAGGACCCTACCCCTTGTCGAACATGTAAGTTGTTTCGAATGCTGTCATGGGTAACTAACATAAGATAATTTTTTAAAAATAAATTATGATCATATTTTTGAGTAATGGGATAATAAGATTTTCTAGCGGAAATAGAGTGTGTGCCGAGTTTCAATAAAGACCTGAAAATGCCATCTAGGAGAGCTGAGAAAGTTGAAAAGAGCTGGCTTTAACCTGAATCCTAGAGACACATGTGATACATACAATGCAGATAGTGCGAGTCAGCTGGTGCACTTAAATCTTAGCATAACTTATAAACACTACAGTACAGGTAAAGTAAGTCAAATTGAATAATATGAGTACTAAGTATGGCCATAGGCCGTTTTAACAGGGTTGATACTTGCGAAGTTAGCATAAAAATTCCGGGCAAGCCGGCAGTAAAGATATTTCAGTTCTTCGATGCCTAATTCATCATTAAGTTTTTGATTTCGAACATACCAGGGCGTCTTAGGACACAATTTTGTGCCTGCTGTAACTTTTTCCTGTATGATTTCCATGAATATGCCCAAACCGGGCAGGCATAACATAGTATGAGATGCAATACAGTTTTATAAATAAGCAGCGTGTTATCTATTAAAATACACTGTTTTGAGAAATTAAGGGGTGAAGTGTAGCTTTACTAACTCGAAACTTTTTAAGGATAGATGTTATGTGTGGGTACCATGAGAGAGTTTTACTGAGGATCACCCTAAGATAAAGGACTTGCTTGGCCATGGGATTATCTTCTCTGTAAAATTGCTGGTTTTTATTGAATTTTTTCTTCTTGGTAAAAAGGATTGCTTGAGTCTTATTTACATTAACTTTGATCTTCCATTTTGTCAGCCAAGTCTCGAGTATGTTGATGTAGTCTAGTAATCATTGCATTGCTATAATACGTCACTATAAATTATAAAAACATCATTTTTATTAAACTTTTACTCTAAACATTAAATTTTGTGCATTCATTTTTTTCTTTTATTCTTTATTTTGTGAAAGTAACAGTTTTTAGAAAGTAAAACTTGCATTTATTTTTCCCTAATACACCGCATAACTACGCGAGCCTGTGTGAAAAACCGTGGCACTGGGAAATGAATCTTGTACGTTTTTCACGGCAGTTAAGAGTGACAGTTTCAAGTGACATCCTTTCTGCTTCTAACTAATAAAGATAAGAAACCACAAATAAATCCTTTTAGGACAAGCTGTCTGTAATAAACTGATGCAATGTTTTTAGGGAAACTGCACCTGTTACTGCATACCTTAGAAGAGGGAAGAGAAGAACATCAGAATTTCTGCCATTTGGGGCAGATTTGGTCATTTGAATGAAGGGCCATCTGGGCCGATATGGTCTTCAGAGAGTTAACTCCAAGTGATTTCTTCCCAACCTGTTCCTGCCCATTATATTGCGATTTATTTCAAGCAAACTTTGTTTCACGAAACTCGATATTGTTAACTCCCGAGACCCATAAGTAAATATATACACGACGATATACTGTGTACGACAGTAATGTAAAGAAAATGCATGACCCAACAAGCAATATTTGTATTTGGACACTCTTTTCTTCCTGATATGAATGATGGCAGAGTAGCTATTTTGGCATTGGATCATATTTTAATTTCGTAGGATGATTATTCAAATAGTACAACTTTTCTCCATGAAAAACTTCACTTTCTTAAAGGAACAAGATAGCTGTTTCTTCATCTATTAGCAAATTCTATGTTGTGGAATCCATTGCAGTAAAGATGAATCCATCCACTAAACCAAACCAAACGTGTGACACCTCAAATTGAAGAAATATACTCCCCCTCTAAAAAGAAAAGTCATCGAATAGTATAGCTTTAATAAAAAAAAATATCAATAGTCTGGAGCAGTTTCTAGCTTGCTAAATTTTTTTCACGAATCGGAATTAAAGTGGTATTTTTGGTGCTGTATTGAAGGTTACCACTTAATATACAATTACCACTGTATTTTCTGAAATATTATGCAAGTTCTATATTTTATTTACATTTTATTACTTAAAATTTATTGGCTTTTTTTTTTGTTTTGTTTTTCAGTGCTGCTTTTGATACAGTTACTGAACAAAATGTAGCAATAAAGAAACTTAGCCGGCCGTTTCAAAATGTTACGCATGCCAAAAGAGCATACAGAGAATTCAAATTGATGAAATTGGTGAATCATAAAAATGTATGTTTTTTTTTTTTTTTTACATTTCTTTTATATTAAAATTAATTCTTTGAAATATCTTTTCTTTATTGTGTTCTTTAATTCTTAAATGTAGATAATTGGCCTTCTGAATGCATTTACACCCCAAAAAACAATGGAGGAATTTCAGGATGTGTGAGTACATATTTGTTTATTCAGAACTATAATAAAAGCAGTTTCTGATTTTCTTGTTACACATGTGAGGGTTATTAACCTTGCTACCAATTTGTGGAATATTCCTGTTACATTGCATGTTTGTTTTTTCATCTAATGATTGTAATGGATAATGTGGTATAAGTTTTCAAAATACTTATTTTTAAATTGAAAAAGCAAACTCAAAATTGATACATTTCATCAATTTGTTACATTTACTTAATACTTTAGTTCTTTACTTATTCTGTAATTAAATGCCGTTTATACTAAAATGGTTAGTCTTCTTGAGACTTAAGAACAGCCACTACTGTCATTTTGTTACCTATAATTATAATCATCATTACAATCCCCAAGATGATTATTTTTTGCTTCAGTTAAATGATGATTATTCTGCATAACAATCACTGAATTTTTTTGTTTGATGTATGGAAAAAAATTGTTAAATCAATGAATTTTGACTTTAAGAGTAGAAATGGATGATGTAAATTTTGCAAAGCAAATGAATTTTTTATCTTATTTTACAGTGATGTGCAACATATATTAATAACATTAATTTGACAAAAAGTTAATGCATGTATTTTCAAGAAAAATATTGAAAATGCTGAAAACAAAAAGCCTTTTTGTTTTTATCAATTTCATTACACCTTTTTATTTCACATTTCTGCATGTAAGAGATTTTTCATAGATTGATGAGACAATTTTTATGCTTATCCAGGGTTCGTAGCGATCCTTACAAGTGCTTATAAGTCCTTATATTCAAAAATAAAATATAAAAGTCCTTATAGGTGCTTACTTTTTCTCTAAAGCACTTTTTTTTTTTTTTTTTTTTTTTTTTTGTGCTTGTTTGTTTTTAGTGCTTATTTTTTGCTTTTTATAAAAAACCTTGTGGGTTGCCTTCTGAACTGACTTATTGAAATATTTTTGTGGAAATTGACCTTCCTGAAGATTTTTCGGCTGCTATATTTGATTGTTAATTGTTTCTTTTCATATTCTACATGATTCCTGTTTGAAATTAAAGAAAAAAGGTTCTAATGGCTTCGTCAGAGACATATACAAAATAAATATCATAAATAAAGAAATGTGTGGTGATAAGAAATGCGAATCATTCTGATCATAAAGACAAATCATATCATAATCTTGAAAATAAGTATTTTGATTGTTGCTAGGTGTTTATTCAGTAAATATAGTCTTTTTTGTATAAATTTATAAAAATGTACACTTATTAATTATATTTTATTTTCTTAGTTTGCCATTAGTTCTTAGTCAACTAAACCAATTTTATGACACTTTTCCATTCATCAGCAATTTGAGTTTGTTTTCCTCGGTGTGGTTAAGCCAGCAGTTAAAAATAAAATTGTGCTAAAATAATTGGTTTGGATTTTCTAGAATAAAAAAAGAGATAACATGTCATAAAATTGGAATTTTTATTTTGAGTACTTTTAGTTCACAGCAATAATTAATCATTTATTTGCTTGCATTAAATTTCATTATTTAAAATTTAATTAACTTTAAATTTGCTTTTTATGAATAGAGAATGTTTGTTAATTCAAATTTATATTTAAAAATATTTATATATATATATATGTGGTATGATCTTAAATGCATTTAGTGCGATACTTGCACATTGCTGCAAAGTAAGTTAATAATAATTTATTTCCTAAACAATATTGATTAATTGATTATATTATCTCCTAAGTTTAATTAAAGTAGAAATATTTTGAAAGATGTTTTGTAGTAACTTGAAAGTAAAATGTTAAGTCATCATGAAGAACAAAATTTCAATTGTAGAAGAAAAATTAAATTAAAATGCATGTAATCATTGTCATTGATTGGAAATTAGTTGACTTTTCAAGGGGAACAAACCAACTCCCGTTCAATGAACAATAATTAAAAAATAAATAAATAAATACGTAAATACGAAGGTGTTTTGTCTTTACTCGAGTAATAAGGTCAAGCAATTATTGTTATTAACCAAATACAAGCATATATATGTGTGTGTGTGTGTGTGTGTGTGTGTGTATATATACAGTATATTTAAAACAATCAGATTTTTTTTTTTTTCTTTTTTTTTTTTTAATTTTGGCCATAAGCAGACTTATTGTGATATTTTTTTGTTCTTGATTTGAAATTTCTTTTCAAAATTATAAAAATAGATATATTGGAATTTTTATCGTGTGAAATAATAACTGAATTTTTTTTAAAACCATTTATCAAAAAATTTCACAAAATACCAAATGTGAGGAAAAAACTAATTTGTTGCATTTTCTGATTTCAGATTTTACATATTTTAATTAAAGTTTCATATAATATTTTAACTGAAATAAAACTGTTTAATAATATGAGTAAATATTAAGAAGGTAATATGAATGGGTTGGTAGGTAGAGGTATTTCTATGTATTTTCTGATATCTCTCCCTGTTGACATGCATCTTTTCCAGTTTGAGATCTGTCTCTACTTTACGTTAGTAAATTGAAGAATATACATGGTGCAACACTAAAAATAATGTTTTCAATAGGGTTGTATTCTAGGAAACAGCAATGAATGATTGCATACTCAGTGATATTCAGCAGGACATCATGTGTCATTTTAATGATGAAGCATTTGTAGTAGCAAAGTCCGAGTTCTGAATTAGGACTGCGGTAACTCTGCATATTCATGGAAATATATTCGATTCCGAATTTTAGATCATCAATTTAAATCTAGTAATATGACACATAGACATGGCATATATGACATATAGACTGAGGCTTTCCATACTCTTTATGTCAGATAGAACAATGTTAATCCCCCAACTAGACTGCCACTAAAGCTGCAAATACTTTAGAATTTAAAAAAGCACCACACAGTTAAAATTAGGAATAGTAAAATGTTAGAATTTACGAGAGGCGCTAGGCAACAGAATTCAAGGGCAACAAAATTTTAGAATTCAAGGAGGTAGCAGAATTTAGGACCCACAAAGATTACATGAAGCAGCTGATGTATAGTGCCTGCCCAGTGCCCATTTCCGCCTCCCCCCTCATACACACAACTCAAAGGCTGAAAGTGTGACCTGGCCAGTACCAGTTTAATGCCAATCATTGTATTGTTATTAGCTGTGGTGTGACTCCCTTAGCCAGAGGATGTTAGAAAGTAAAATACGGGGATCTTAGTCGGCAGAAAAATCCTATTTATAGCACGCTTTCTTCTTTTTGTTATGCACAGTATTCCATTCCTAGATTTTGTAAAGGGAGACTATTTTATTGCTGGTAGTCCGAAGGTCCAGATATTGGACATGTGGATTTCGGACTTTGTAGTGTGATGGAGAATCTTTTAAAAAGAGTAATTTCATAATACACTCACATTTGTGAAAATTGCAACACCAAGAAGGAATCGTCATAATTGAATGCAATTTAATACACAGTTGAGTGGTAGTGGTACAAATAAATGATTAAATGTTCAAAGCAAAAAAAACAAGAACAAGAGATCAGAATCAGTATTTTGTGTGGCCACCACGCGCCGCAATAAGTGCTGCTGCACGACGTGGCATGGAGTCAAACAAAGTTTGAATGTCTGACTGAGGAAGAGCATTCCATATCGTTTGTACGCGTACCCAAAGTTCGTCTGCAGGCGCAACAGGACGAGGATCACGAGCAAGACGCCGACCAATGACATCCCACACATGTTCAATTGGCAACATATCCGGGGAACACGCAGGCCAAGGAAGAAGCTGTACCTGCTGCGCTGCAAAGAAGGATTTAACAATCCGAGCAGTATGAGGGCGGGCATTGTCCTGTTGAAATACAGCGCCTGGCAAGCTTTGAAGGAAGGGAACAGCTTCGGGCTGTAGAACTTCACGGATATACCGGTTGCTGTTCAGATTGCCCACAATTCGTAGCAATTGAGATCGTCTATGATATGCTATGGCGCCCCAGACCATAACTCCGGGTGTTCGTCCACTGTGGCGTTTGATAATGCACTCCGGAAGGTGGCGTTCACTGGCATAGCGTCTGACACGAATGCGGCCATCATGGTACCATAAATTAAAGCGGGATTCGTCAGAAAAACGACATGCTGCCAATCAGCACGCCAGTCTCTATGCTGATTGGCCCATTGTAGCCGCAGGCAGCGATGGTCGTGCGTTAGGGGGATCCTGTATAAAGGAGTCCGTTCGCGCAGTCCATACTGCAGCAGACGTCTACGAATTGATGAAGCACACAATGAAACACCTGTAGCTATTGACCACAGTGCTGCCAATTGTCTAGAGGAAGCTGTACGGTCCGTCCGCGCCATGCGGACCAGGTGTCTATCATCGCGAGCTGACGTCACATTTCGGGGTCCACTCCCGGATTTCCGAGTTGTCCGACACTCGTCCGTCCACTGCTTCCAAACGCGCATCACTGTGCTGCTGTTACGCTGCACACGAGAGGCTACTGCACGATACGACAATCCAGCTTCACGAAGGCCGATGATTCTCCCTCGTTCAAACTCTGTAAGTTTGTTCAAATCTCGCTCTCTTTCTTTCGTCGACGAGGCATAAGTACAGATTGAGTTAACGTTTACCACTAGCAGATAACCCCCGATAACCATACACGCCTCGCTACAGCCGTCTCTTTATTCGGATCCATCAGCCGTTCAGAGGGCCTGGCTCAGCATACGCATGCGCTACGGATTTGCAATTCTAATCATTTGCATATCATGCGCTACTTTGCATTTCCTGAAAATTTCAGCTCACTCGCGTAAGTCCTTCATGGTGTTTCAATTTTCACAAACGTGAGTGTATAAATATGACAAGTTTCTTTTGCATTTTAATGTGAGCCATCATAAAAAAGTTATTATTAAGGGTACTTACTATATTATGAAAGGTAACGTCTGGATAGAAAATTTCAGCTTAGCCAGTCCAGTGTTATAAAAATAGCTTCCAGGAAGTATGCAAACTGTTCAGACACCTTTATAATATGGAAGACTGCTAAATACTAGTAGTTTGGGGGAGACCTAGTTTGAAA